AATAGGGAGCCATGTCGAAAAACAGTCTGGCAGTTCCTCAAATGGTTCAACATACAGTTACTATTTGATCTAGCAATTCCTCTCCTGGGTATATGCCCAAGAGAACGAAAGCAGATGTTCACACAAGCACTTGTACACAAATGTGAATGGGAGCATGATTCACAATAGCCAAAAAGTGGAAAATTCCATCCCCAATGTCCATCAACTGACGGAGGGGTAAGCAAAGTGTGTGACCACCAAACAATGCAGTACTATTCGGCCACAGTAAGAACTGAGACATGCCGCAGCATGGGTGAGCCCTGAAAACGTTATACAAAGTGAAACAGCCAGTCACGAAAGATATTTCATATTGATAGATACTTCTTTTTAACGAAATGTCAAGTATAAGTAAATCCATAGAGACAGAACATAGATTAGTGGAGGAAGGAGGGAATGAGAACATAAAGAGTGATAACTAAAGGGTACAGGGTACATTTTTGAGGCTCTAAATGTTCTAAAATTAACTGTGGCAATGATGACACATATCTGTGAATATACTAAAACCACTGAACTGTACACTTTAAAAGTGGCATTTTTTTAGAGATATATTTATTTGTTTGAGAGGGGGAAGACAGAGGAAGAGGGAGAGAATACCAAGCAGATGCCAAGCTGAGCATGGAACCCGAGGCGGAGCTCGATTCCATGACCCTGAGGTCACAACCTGAGCTGAAACCAAGAGTTGGATGCTTAACCAACCGAGCCAGCCCAGCACCCCTGAACTGTACACTTTAAATGGGTGAATTGTATGTTATGTGAACTCTAGCTCCATCTCAATAATGCTGTCCAAAAAAATGAAGTGGGAAGAAGTTCCCATCTCCCTTCTAAAAAGATCTAGGAAGCCTAGAGAGCACTGGTATGGCATGGGCTCGGGGGCTCAGAGGACAACTGACTGTAAGTCAGGCTGCAAACACAGGCACTGGAAGTGAAGGGAAAAATAGAGCATAGATAAAGGGAATACAGAATATGGGTGCCTAAAGTAGGTACAGAGAGGAAAGGGGAAGTAGAAGTGAAATTGCCACCACTGACCTATCTGGAAAAAGAAAAGAGGAAAAAAACAAAAACCAATGGCTGGTAAAGACGACATCATGAATGTGATGGCAACCAGCAATGGGGCACCAGTCGCTGGACCCTACACAATGGTCCAGACATCGACATCCCCATCTTGAAACTAGCACTGAGAGGGAGGTTCTGCTGGTCCCAATTTACAGATGGGAAACAAAATCAACACAGTTAAGTATTGTGCTTCTGTTTTTAATTTTTTTCAAAAGATTTTATTTTTTTATTTGACAGAGATCACAAGTAGGCAGAGAGGCCAGCGGGGGGGTGAGTGGGCAGGGTCCCCACTGAGCAGGAGAGCCTGATGTGGGACTCGATTCCAGGACCCTGAGATCATGACATGAGCTGAAGGCAGAGGCTTAACCCACTGAGCCACCCAGGCACCCCAAGTATTGTGCTTCTGTATGATTAAGTGCCTATCCTTGAGAAGTATATACAGACGTATGTAAAAATCATTGATAGAATTTCTGACATCTGCTTTGAAATAATCCAGTGGGAAGTGCCAGCAGAAGTTATGGGTGAAACCCAATTGGCCATGTCGAGAATTGTTGAAAATGGGAGAAGTGTACATGTACTGATCCCTTTACTTCTCGTTTGAAATTTTCCATAAGCAAACTCCCTAGGTAAAAGCTAAAAAACAAAAACAAAAACAGGGGTGCCGGGGTGGCTTAGTCAGTTAAGCATCTAACTCTTGATTTTGGTTCAGATCTTGATCCCAGGGTTGTGAGATGGAGCCCAGGGTTGTGAGATCAAGACCCTGGTAGGGTTCCACACTGGGCCTGGAGTCTGCTTGAGCTTCTCTCTCTCCTTCTGCCCATCCCCCACCCCGTCTTGCACATGTGTGTGCCCTCTCTCTCTCTCAAAAAAAAAAAAAAAAAGTTTAAGAAAACAAATTAAAGGGGTGCCTGGGTTTCTCAGTTGGTTAAGCAGCTGCCTTCATCTCAGGTCATGATCCCAGGGTCCTGGGACTGAACCCCACATCTGACTCCTTCCTCAACAGGGCGCCTACTTCCCCCTCTGCCTGCCTGCTGCTCCCCCTGCTTGTGCGCTCTCTCTCTATCTCTTTGTGTGTCAAACAAATAAATAAAATCTTTAAAAAAAAAAAGAAAAATTCCATCAACAGATGAATCCATAAAGAAGTTGTATAGATATATAATGGAATATTAAGCAGCCATCAAAAATAACATGTTGTCATTTGCAATGATGTGGGTGGAACTAGAAGGTATTATGCTAAGTGAAATAAGTCAATCAGAGAAAGACAATGATATGACCTCACTCATATGTGGAATTTAAGAAACAAAACAAAGGATCATAGGGGAAGAGAGGAAAAAATAAAACAAGATGAAACCAGAGAGGGAGATGAGACCTAAGAGACTCTTAATCATGGGGAACAAACTGGGGCAAACTGAGAGTTGCTGGAGGGGAGGGGCTTGGGTGACGGATATTAAGGAGGGCACATGAAGTAATGAGCACTGGGTATTACATAAGACTAATGAATCACTGACCTCTACCTGTGAAACCAATAATACATTACATGTTAATTAACTGAATTTTAATTTAAAAAATTAAAAACAAAAAAGTTTTAAATTAAAAAAAAAAAGAAAAACTTCAACATTGCTGTATCTGTCCATGTAACCTTGAGTTACCTCTCTGACCTACTTCTCTACTACCTCTACATTCCTACACCTCTATACACTTCTGCACCCCTGCATCCCCCTATAAGCTTCTACTTGCACTCACTTCTTTATTCAAATTTGCCATTGGAATGAGACTTTCCTCATCACCCTTTTTAAAACTTCATCCCTAAAATATACACTATCCTGGTTTACTTCCCTATTTTTTATTTTTTATTTTTTTATTTTTTTTTTGCCCCAGAGCACTCGTCTTCTATTATCTTAGCCATCATCATCAGTTCCTAACTAACACTTACACAGCATTTACTATGGGCCTGGCCCTGTTCTAGACTTTTCTACACACACACACATACTTGATCCTTCTAACAATCTACGAGGTAGCTATAACAACACTAGGACCCGAGGCATAGCTTGAAACTGGAGCATTTCACACCCAGGCAGTCTTGCTTCCAAGTTCACATTCTTACCTGCAACAGTGCAGGGATGAGGGAAAGACCTTTAAATCTCATGGATCCAAACATCTCTCCAGAATATCAAAATTTATCAAGCACGAAGGGGCTGCTGGCAATGTCAGTGACATGGGCATGCTTATACCTCCCTGGGCCCCAATCCCCACAGGGACCAAGAGTTTAAACTAAGAATGAGACCAAAACCAAAACCAACCAAAAAAAAAAAAAAAAACCATTTTATATATGTCGTAGGACAGTTGAAATGATTAGACAATTGAGCCATATTGCTTAAAATACCCTCAAAATGTGCATAAACCAAAGTTCAACTCTCCTGACCCATCATATTTAAAATGGCCATCCTCAAGTTAGCTTCTAAGAATAATCTCCAAATAAAGAAAGAGAGAATAAGGAAGTACATTACATGTTATTTCCTGCACAGTTGTTTTCTGACCCACTACAAGTTGCTGAAATAAAAGAATGTGGAAGAGTTTAAGGCCACCCCAACCTCTGGTCTTTAGCTCCTGAAATCAACAAGATGAAAGCATCTGCTGGTCATGGGTGACCTGCCCAAAAAAACTTTGAGGTCTAATTTACACTTATCTCTTTAAGTGTAAAACTAAGGATCCAAGAACAGAACTAAAGTTTTTTTTTTTTTAAATAATTTCCAAACATTAATTGTTGGGCAGATCACATTGAAGTGTGTAGATTAGTTTGGCTTTTTCCCCTTTGTCATGTTCCAGCCTATGTTGAGAACAGCAAAAACACTTGTCTCTGAAACTTCCTTTTACATAGAAAGTGTAGACTAGACTTTTAGGAATCATTTCTGCAGTTTGTTACATACTGGAAATGTTTCTCTTTCACAGTTCACACTTCATGTTCCAGTGAGAACTACAGCCTCCGTTCAATATTCAATAGGATTATTGAGATTATTTTGTGGATGAGAAAACTGGGGCCCAGAGAAAGGAAGTAACGTGAAGCCCACACAGCAATTCAACAGCAAGCTCAGCCCTAGGACGTGGAACCTGGCTCCAGAGCCCGCCATCTCTCCCTCATGCTGCTGTATGTGTGGGATAAAACACAGTGCAGAAGTTAAGAAAAAAACACCAGGGTCCTAATCAAATGTAATTTTTATGCCAACCTGAGAAACTCCTTACTTACTAGCTGTGTGACCTTGGATAAGGCATTTAACCTCTCTGTGCTTCAGTTTCTTTAAGGACTGTTGTGAGAACTAAATGAATTCTCAATCTGGCACACAATATTCAACACCATCAGTGTTATTTTAGAAAAACTTCCAGTTCCGTTCACCACAGCACAACTAAGGAGACCTAGTTTTATTACCCCACTTCGTAAATGAGTCACCTCTCAACTACTTTTAATTAAAACGAAAAACCAGTCAGAGAGCTTGGTGACCTTGACAAGCTTACCTTATTTATCTTTTTAGAAAAGATACATACAATAAAACACACAGGCATTAGTATTGCTCACGTTTATAATGGCTAGAAGATTGGACATGCTTATTTAAAAGGAACTGCTTAAATTCTAACGGTAACACAACCAACCCTGTGACTCTTTTCCTTTCCATATCAGAAATATGGATCTAAATTTAGTAACAAGGGAAACTATTTAAATTTGGCAATGCTATTATTTGTGTGCCCCAGAGGGGTGGAGAAAACCTGCGAGCAAGCAACTGTACTCTTTTCTCTAGCTCTTTACTTATCTTCCTCTAAAGATCATTTGAATTGAAATGCTGATTTTTGCATATTTATCCTTGGCCCTGACAGAGTCTTCCCGTATCAGAAAACAAGAACTCCAACTTCAGAAAGCGAAGGTTTTCAGAGTTAAATGTTCTCATGAAGAGCATGGCAAATCAAATCTAACGCTCCCCCCACCTCCACTGGTCACTACCAATTTTCCTCAACTTTCTTAGCATCTCCCTCAGGCCCTAAAGAAGAGGAGGAAAGCAAAGTTCCTGTCTCCTGATGTCACACTGTGATGCGCAGTGTAAGGTAGTCGTGCTGGGAAGAAGAACTACCACAACACACCGAGAAACAGACGCATCCCGACATTTTGGACAGGTAAGCAGGAAAATGCCTGCACTTCCCCGCTGCCTTAAGTCCCCTCCAAATGAGGTTCTGCTGGCGGCCAGGAGGGAGGTGTGGGGAGCAATGCGGTGATAACCGTCATTTACAGAAACCACTCTACATACTTCTCAAAACACTCCCCTCCCTCTTTACAAATCATCCAATGTGGTAGGGCAGGGATTATCGCTCCACTTCTCACACAAGCAAACAGATTCCATGAGGTTTCTTGACTTGCCAAAACTTCACTGCTATTCGGCCTGAGGACAGAGTATAGGAAACTTGAATTTGCTGACCCTCAGCCCTCTGAACTTTCCCACCCCATCTGCAATTCAAACATCCTTCCAAGTTCCACGGCAATCACGTAGTAAGCACAGTTCTGGAATATGCCCCTCCCTGCTAGTCTTAATTTCCATTTAGGGCCGAACAACCCTTCTTCCGAAGGTTCTCCACGTTCTCCAAGCTGACAGCATCAGTAGTCGCAGGCGGTGGGGGTAGCAAACCTCCCCGCGCAGCGACAGGCAGGCTGGAGGGGGCGGGGGTGAAATGCAGCAATTCCGCTTTTCCCGCTGCAATCTCAGCAGGTGGACTTGACGTGGGCGCTCGACCACCCAATATGCCGCGCTCTCCCCCTCTCACCTAGCTCGGAGAAGTAGCAAAAAGTTTGGCTTTTGCCACCAGCTATCCCTAGGTTTGGGTGTGTTGGGGAGGAGCTCCTCCGCGGGCCTTCGCCATCTGTGTGCGCGCTTTGGGGGAACCGAGAAAAGCCAACGCGCTGGGAACACAGAGCCTGGGTCCACGCAGGGTGCAGGCTCTGTGCTCCCTGAAAGTCGCCAAGCGATAAAGTGCCTGAAGGTCCCGCTCCCGAGCCTTCCGGATCCAAGCCGAGCTCACGGTCCCTCCCTTTTGCAAGTGAGTTCCATAAAAACCCTCCACCCCCTGCAGAGGAGCCCCTTCCTACGTTTCCCCCAGGGGCCTCTGCACTACCCTGCCCAGGCAGGGCCCCCCGACTCGCGCAAAGCCTCTCTTGAGCCCCTCACGCCACCTCACCTCTCCAGCAGCCTCGCCCCGCCGGCGTGCCCCTGCCTCGGGCTCCCCTCGTACACCCCCGCTCCGACAGCCTCCCCCCGCCGGCGTGCCCCCACCCCGGGCTCCCGTTGCGCCCCCGGCCCGGGCCGCCGCCTCACCCCAGCTCGCCAGGTGAGCGCGGCGCGTGGGCTCCAGCTCAAGCGGATCGGCGTTGCCAGGTCAGCGCGCGCCGCCGCGGCGGAAAGAGGGCGCGCGGAGGGGGAAGCGGCGCCCTGACGCTGCCACGCCACCACCACCCCACCCCCCGCCAAAATCCCGGGCTCCCGCCGCAATCCGAGAAGGCCCCTGGGGGAAGCGAAGCGCCGCTCCCGAGCCTGCGGCTTGCTGGGAGACGCGGAGGACGCGAGCCGGCACGACCTGGGGCCCCCGCACTGCTCCAGCCCCCACGCCCGTGTCCCCGGCGCCCACCTCCGAGCCCTCGGTGACCGCGGGCTGGGACAGCCGGGAGCAGCCGGGCTCCCCTCTCCCCGGGGTCCTCCCCGAAATCAGGACCTGCCTTCGCTGGGGGCCCAGACGCAGCCGCGCTGTCGGGGGCTGAAACACGAGAGGAAAACGCAGACCTGGAGGACGACGAATTCCGGGCCCCAGACGCCCCAAGCGGCGGTCTTAGCATCCGTGCAACTGCCTGAAATGGGGAACGGTCCTCCTGAATCGTTGGGATTTGTCTGCATAGTACTCTGCGCGCCCCCGCGGGGGCCTAAAACTTAACCCGAGCGTGACCTCAGCTGGCTGCTCCACGGGGAGTCCCACTCCGAGGACTTTACTGGAATTCGTCCCACCCCATCATCACCTTGTATTCTTGAGGCGAGGGTTTGCTGTCCCATCACAGCTATGCTGCGGGGGTCGAATCCAGATCCAGGTGGATGCTGGGGAGAAGCTGCCAACCAAAACAAAGTTTCCACCATTAGAAACCAAAGCCTTGACTTAGTTTCCTAGGGCAGAGTGCACGACGTCCCTTCGCCCCTAGGGAGCTTGGGCGCACTCCAGCAGCGCCCCAGTCTCTCTTGGGGAAGGAATCTCAGAGTTGCCTATCCCCATAACAACAGGTAGGTGAGTTTGTCTGGGATTACTTAAAAGAATAACTTCTGCGGGGATAAAACCAACAGCATCGTACCCGCCTTAGTTGCTTGGCTTTGTCCTGTGTCACTTCTAGGTTGTGGAACCAAGTCACAGGTGTGTTGGCCTTTATGTGCTGGAAGGTTCTCTGGAACACCCCCTCCCTGGCACTTCCTAGATGGAGTGGCTAAGGGACAGCTCCAGGCGGTCTCTGCTCTCTCAGAAGGCCTATCTTCTGATGGGATCCAGTAGGATCCAGTATCAAAGCCAGTTGATAAACTAGCTGTCAACCACCCCACCTTTGCTGACCACTGCCTGTTTGGAGACCAGAGTTGTTTGGACCTGAAAGGACTGTGGATTTTGGGGGTTCTGTCTCAGGAATTCAGATGGGCTGAAGGCAGACTGGGAAGGGCTTACATTAAACTGGAAGGAAGGAAGGGAGGAAGGAAGGAAGAGAGGAAGGGAGGAAGGAAGAGAGGAAGGGAGGGATGAGGAGGAGGAAGGAAGGGAGGTGAAAGGATGGAGGGTTGTCAATGAGTGCAGCTCTCCTATGTACCAGATACTTTTCCAAATTATTTTGAGTTATCCTATCAACATTCCTGCAAATAACAAATCATCTGCTTCTATTTCACAAAGGAGAAATCTGTGTCGTAAAGAGGTTAAGTTACTTGCCCAAGGTCACACAGCCAGTAAAGCACAGTCAGACTTTAAAGATCAGTGTCTCAGGGCGCCTGGGTGGCTCAGTGGGTTAAAGCCTCTGCCTTCGGCTCAGGTCCTCATCTCAGGATGCTGGGATAGAGCCCCACATCGGGCTCTCTGCTCAGCGGGGAGCCTGCTTCCTCCTCTCTCTCTGCCTGCTTCTCTGCCTACTTGTGATCTCTGTCAAATAAATAAATAAAATCTTTGAAAAAAAATAAATAAAGACCAGTGTCTCTAACACCAAACCCTGTGACCATTTTCCACTATGTTACTAGCAAGACACAGAAAAATAATGAAATCAAGGGGTAAAGCAAAAGCTTTCCCAGGAATATATAAAAAAGGAGAGGGATCAAGAGGAAGAGGAGAGAAAGAATGTTATGCAAAGTAAATCAGTCAACTGGTCAAGAAAAAGTCAAAATACAAAAAGCAAACTGTACTAGGTGGTAGCCTGGACAAGTCCAAGACCAGAAAAGCGTTCTTGTAATGGCACTAGAGGAATTTAGACCAAGATGGTAAGATTTGGTCAGTTCCCTTTGAAGTCACTTTAACATCATCTTCACCAATAGGTGAATAGGCTGGCCTACGGCCTGTTATGCAGACATCCTATAAATTTGGACATACATATTCACCAGACACAGATAAGGAGGTGCATCTCCTGGAAGAGTGTCTCTACAATTTAGAAAGAAAGCTCAAGGACAGATTTCTTTTCAAATAAACACTCACTGGAAACCTACTGTCCCCTCTAGGATTAGAATTCTGGAAGTAGAATTTCCCAAGTATTAAATGCTGAGGATGGGCTTTCCAAGACTGCCTAGCCAATTGTTTGTTTCTGAGAAAGTTACTGATAAGTACTAGCCAAAAACCACTCTGGAAAAGCAGAGGCTGGTTTTCTTTTTCATGGGGAACGTCATCTTCCAGGTCACAGGATGCTCCCCTCCCCAGGGCCCAAGGGCAGTGAAAGCCTCAGGAACAACTCACCACTTCAGCTGGTCAGGATTGTTCCCAGTACCCATTGGTCACACACAAGGCTCCATTGTGGCCAAGACAGCCTCATAGGAGACTAGAGGCCTGGCAGCTGCCTGCCCCAACCCAGCCAGACCTCACAAGAGCATAAAGTTTACTGTTTCAACTACTTGTAGGTATACAATTCAGTGCCATTAAGTCTGTTTGCAATAATGTGCAACCATCACCACTATCCATGATTTGTGCCATGAGTGGGGATGCGACCCTGTTTTTCAGCTCAGCTAACGAAGTCAGCAAAGGAGAAACCAGTCTCTGGGCAAAACAGGAGGGAAACAAGATGAGTAGCATCATCAGCTCTGGAGAGGAGCCTAGTGATACCACAACGATGGACATTCAGGGAAGGAAGGATGATCCCACAGTGGCAGGGAAGTCAACACATGCAACAGGGAGTAAAAGACCCAAGGTAAGCTGCATTTGGCTTATCTCACTTTCTTTTCCTCCTTTCTGTCTGTCGGAAACATCCGCTATCCACAAGAGGACAAATTCATACGATGACACGTACATGAGGAACCTAAACAGGCAAATTCTTCGAGGCCGAAAATAAAATAGAGGATACTAGGGACTGGAGGAGGAGAAATGGGGAATTAGTGTTTTATGGGTGCACTTTCTGTTTGGGATGAGAAGAAAGTTCTGGAGATGGATAGTGGTGATGGTTGCACATATTTGCAAATGGACTTAATGGCACTGAAGTGTATACCTACAAGTAGTTGAAACAGTAAACTTTATGCTCTGTATATTTTACCATAATAAACTATATATGTATGTGTGCATGCATGTAAATATATATTGAAAATATATGTATTATAATGTTATATATATGTAATGTGTATTCTAAGTATAATATGTGTTATAGTAAAAATACATATTATATATAAGTATATATATTACATATATGTATTTAAGATCTATTATCATGATGTAATACTTCTTTGGAGTAAAAGCCCAAGTGAAAGCAATGTGCTAAGAGATGGGTTCTGCCCATGGAAACTCATTTATTTTTTTAAATTGACGTATAATGTATTATTTGCTTCAGGGGTACAGGTCTGTGATTCATTAGTCTTACACAATTCACAGCACTCACCATAGCACCCTCCCCAATGTCCATAACCCAACCACCCTATCCCTCCCTCCCACTCCCCAGCAACCCTGAGTTTGTTTCCTGAGATTGAGTCTTTTATAGTTTGTCTCCCTCTCTGGTTTCATCTTATTTCATTTTCCCCTCTCTTTCCCTACGATCCTCTGTCTTGTTTCTCTAATTCCTCATATCAGTGAGATCATATGTTAACTGTCTTTCTCTGATTAACTTATTTCACTTAGCATAATACCCTCTAGTTCCATTCATATTGTTGCAAATGGCAAGATTTCGGGTTTTTTGATGACTGCATAATATTCCGTTGTATTACATATCACATCTTCTTTATCCATTCTTCTGTTGATGGACATCTAGGTTCTTTCCATAGTTTGGCTATTGTGGACATTGCTGCTATAAACATTCGGGTGCACGTGCCTCTTCGGATCACTACATTTGTACCTTTAGGTTAAATACCCAGTAGTGCAATTGCTGGCCATAGGGTAGCTCTATTTTCATCTTTTTGAGGAACTTCCACGCTGTTTTCCAGAGTGGCTGCACCAGCTTGCATTCCCACCAGCTGTGAAGGAGGGTTCCCCTTTCTCCGCATCCTCGCCAACACCTGTAGTTTCCTGACTTGTTAATTTTAGCCATTCTGACTGGGGTGAGGTGGTTTCTCACTGTGGTTTTGATGCGTATTTCCCTGATGCTTGGTGATGTTGAGCACTTTTTCATGTGTCTCTGTTGGCCATTTGGATGTCTTCTTGCAGAAACATCGATTCATGTCTTCTACCTGTTTTGTCTCGCCTCATTTTGCTTTCCTTTAGGGGTGGCAGGGCCTAGCTTTGGAGTTGTTTGCACTCCTCCTTGAGAAGGAAGAATAATCCTGCCATTTTACTACTTGCTTCTGCTGGTGGAAGGTAGCTTGGGGTCTGCGGAGTGCATATTCAGAAATGCCACCTCCTGCAAGAGGCTCCTTACCTTTCAGAGAGAAAGGAAGCTGACACAGGTTTTAAAAAAAACAACAACAACAAACTAAATTTAACCGAGTACATTTAAAGATCTAATTTACTTGATTCAATGATTTGCGAATCAGGCAGCAGCCTCTCCTGCAAAGAGAAGGGAGCTCTGAGTCTGGATGAAATTAGAAGGTTTTTTTTTTTTTTTTTTAAATTAATTAATTTATTTATTTTTTAAACATATAATATCTTTTTATCCCCAGGGGTACAGGTCTGTGAATCGCCAGGTTTACACACTTCACGGCACTCACCATACAACTTCCCCTCCCCAAGGTCCATAACCCCCCCCCCACCCCCCCTCCCCCAATTAACCCTCAGTTTGTTTTGTGAGATTAAGAGTCACTTATGGTTTGTCTCCCTCCCAATCCCATCTTGTTTCATTTACTCTTCTCCTACCCCCTTAACCCCCCATGTTGCATCTCCTCTCCCTCATATCAGGGAGATCATATGATAGTTGTCTTTCTCCGATTGACTTATTTCACTAAGCATGATACCCTCTAGTTCCATCCACGTCGTCGCAAATGGCAAGATTTCATTTCTTTTGATGGCTGCATAGTATTCCATTGTGTATATATACCACATCTTCTTTATCCATTCGTCTGTTGATGGACATCTAGGTTCTTTCCATAGTTTGGCTATTGTAGACATTGCTGCTATAAACATTCGGGTGCACGTGCCCCTTCGGATCACTACGTTTGTATCTTTAGGGTAAATACCCAGCAGTGCAATTGCTGGGTCATAGGGTAGCTCTATTTTCAACATTTTGAGGAACCTCCATGCTGTTTTCCAGAGTGGTTGCACCAGCTTGCATTCCCACCAACAGTGTAGGAGGGTTCCCCTTTCTCCGCATCCTCGCCAGCATCTGTCATTTCCTGACTTGTTAATTTTAGCCATTCTGACTGGTGTGAGGTGGTATCTCATTGTGGTTTTGATTTGTATTTCCCTGATGCCGAGTGATATGGAGCACTTTTTCATGTGTCTGTTGGCCATCTGGATGTCTTCTTTGCAGAAATGTCTGTTCATGTCCTCTGCCCATTTCTTGATTGGATTATTTGTTCTTTGGAAATTAGAAGGTTTTTAAAGGCAGAACAGCATGGGACAAGGAAGTCAAAGACAAAGGAAGGCTTATTTGCAGCAAGATCACTTTCCTCTGGGAAGAAGGCAGGGACTTCTCATGTAGACTAATCTCACTAGCCCTGCTCAGTTCCTTCCAGATTGACCAGTTGAAGGACACCTTCCCAGGCAGAGCCGAAACCATAATGAAGTCTTGGTTCATTTTCTTCCTCTTGTGGGGGCAAGCGATTCCATTTCAGTCCTGTTCTTCCTTTTGTAACAAGTAAAAGGACTGTGGACTTGGGGGACAATGTTGTTGCTTCCAGCCAACCAGGAATACCAGACACACAACCTCACTGCCTCAGGCACACCCTGACCCCCAAGGTTAGCCTGTTCTAGTGGAAATGACAAGATGAAATGCATGTGCTCTTGGCTGGACAGATAATCAGTAAACCTTGTCCCTTGTCCCCCTCCTCCTCTCCCCAGTACACAGTTCTCACTTTTCTTCTTTGAAGAAGGCCTTAGCTGGGCCAGTAGAACCAGAAGGTTCACCTGTCCTGTGGTCTATTTTCACAAGAAACATGGTATACAAAAAAACTTGGGGTCTTGCATGAGTGCAATGGTACACAGCAATCTGCTGTTAGAGCTAAAAAATATTTTTTATTAACATATAATGTATTATTTGCTTCAGGAGTACAGGTCTGTAAATCATCAGGCTTACATAATTTACAGCACTCACCATAGCACATACCTCTCCAATGTCCATAACCCAGCCACCCTATCCCTCCCTCCAACCCCCCAGCAACCCTCAGTTTGTTTCCTGGGATTGAGTCTCTTACAGTTTGTCTCCCTTCTGATCCCATCTTGTTTCACTTTTTCCATCCCTACTCCCCATGATCCCCACCCTGCCTCTCAAATTGCTTGTATCAGACAGATCATATGATAACTGTCTTTCTCTGACTGACTTATTTCACTTAACATAATACTCTCTAGTTCCATCTACATCGTCGTATATGGCAAGATTTTGGGGGTTTGATGGCTGCATAGTATTCCTGTGTGTGTGTGTGTGTGTGTGTGTGTGTGTGTGTGTGTGTATACATATATATATACCACATCTTCTTTATCCATTCTTCTGTTGATGGACACCTAGGTTCTTTCCATAGTTTGGCTCTTGTGGACATTGCCGCTATAAACATTCGGGTGCATGTGCCTCTTTGGATCGCTACATTTGTATCTTTAGGGTAAATACCCAGTAGTGCGATTGCTGGGTCATAGGGTAGATCTATTTTCAACTCTGAAGAACCTCCCTACTGTTTCCAGACTGGCTGCACCAGCTTGCATTCCCACCAACAGTGTAGGAGGGTTCCCCTTTCTCCACATCCTTGCCAACATCTGTCATTTCCTGACATAAATTTCAGCCATTCTGACTGGTGTGAGGTGGTATCTCACTGTGGTTTTGTTGTGTATTTCCCTTCTGCTGAGTGATGCTGAGCACTTACTCATGTGTCTGTTAGCCATCTGGATGTCTTCTTTACAGAAATGTCTGTTCATGTCTTCTGCCCATTTCTTGATTGGATTATTTGTTCTTTGGGTGTTGAGTTTGATAAGTTCTTTATAGATTTTGGATACTAGCCCTTTATCTGATATGTCATTTGCAAATATCTTCTCCCATTCTGTCAGTTGTCTTTTGGTTTTGTTGACTGTTTGCTGTGCAAAAGCTTTTGATCTTTATAAGTCCCAATAGTTCATTTTTACCCTTGCGTCCCTTGCCTTTGGCAATGTACCTAGGAAGAAGTTGCTGCAGCTAAGGTCAAAGAAGTTGCTGCCTGTGTTCTCCTCAAGGATTTTGATGGATTTCTGTCTCACATAGAGGTTTTTCATCCATTTTGAGTCTATTTTTGTGTGTGGTATGAGGAAATGGTCCAGTTTCATTCTTCTGGATGTGGCTGTCCAATTTTCCCAACACCATTTCTTGAAGAGACTGTCTTTTTTCCATCGTACATTCTTTCCTGCTTTGTCGAAGGTTAGTTAACCATAGAGTTGAGGGTCCATTTCTGGGCTCTCTATTCTGTTTCATTGATCTATGTGTCTGTTTTTATGCCAGTATCATACTGTCTTGATGAGGACAGCTTTGTAATATAGCTCGAAGTCTGGAATGTGATGCCTCCAACTTTAGTTTTCTTTCTCAACATTTCTCTGAATATTCGGTGTCTTTTCTGGTTCCATATAAAGTTTAGGATTATTTGTTCCATTTCTTTGAAA